CTGTGTTGTTTGTAGCAGATGGAAGAATGATTTCATCTGTTTAGGCATTCATGTCAAACAATTTCAATGTTTCTTTCTTTCTGTTGGCTATTGATCTATTATTGTTTATGCATTATTTAGCAAATGATCTCCTGCAATCATTTAGAAAATTGGCTTTCTTTTTCATTTGTTTTCTCTTAAAAATGTAATTTAAAATGAACAATTTTCACCCATAACTGGAGGGTTGTTTTCATTTTGTGAAAGTGATCTTTAGTGTTGTGATTACAAAAGTGAAAAATTGTAATTTAATGATAATCCTTAAGGGGGTTTTCAGTTTAATTGTTTTCTTTGATCTTTCCCGTTTAAAATGGGGTTTTGATCTACGTATTAGTTGTCTAATATTTGAGTAGAATTCTGATCTATTTTACTAATGTATCATAAAAAGCTGTACTCTAAATACACGCATAAGCTCAACTACCATTATGTTAGAAGTCTCTTTCTCCCACTGTTCTCGGTTCGCTTGACGCCTAAACTTTTCGTTAACGCAAATATGGAACCAAAATATCATCATCGATGCTAATGTTGTTTAATATATACTTTATAGATGTCGAGGTCTGATACATCACATCTAACTTTTTAAAAGTTGTTTGTCTTAAAACATCGGAAAAAAGATAATGCCGATGTAATTTTTCAGACAACTTCGAACAATCAGACTTGACATCCGTCTCAACTACATGTATCGTCCTTCTTTCAATTGAAAGTTGATAATATCAAATTTGTCTAGTCCGACTTTACCATCAGACCTATAATCACCGATTCCTCTATAGTTTCTAAAAGAGCTCTTTCCGACAATACTTTACTAACTTCAGTTTTATCCAAAATGTTGTTCTTTAGAATGTTTGAAGATCTGAAGCTCCTCTAATAGTAAAATATTTGGATTGCATTTTCAAAAAAGACATTTTTTACATGTAGGTCGAAGTTGGAAAATCAGAATGGACGCTTTCAGGTATCACATATTCGACGAGAGATATTCCTCCCCTGATAAGATACAGTCTTCCAGAGCCAGTTTAAAATCGCTTCTTTATCAAATTTATTGGGAATTTAAAATGCATTGGGTGGTCCCAGGCCGATATATTTTCTATTCGAAATATTGGTTAATGTCATACCTCAGTCAACCAAAATTTGTCCCTTTTCGCATGAACAACTTTATGAAAAATTGTAAACTTATTTTCAAAGTGTGTTTGTTTAAATAAAGGTTTGTCGGTGCGTATCGATGAGAATATGGCCGCTGTAGCCGAAAGTGTGGAACTCACTAATCAAAGAACATCGACCCGTCTTCGATTGTTACATCTCAAGCGTAACTGATAAGTGGCTGAAATGGAAGATATTCTTTGCTTTCAGTAGGATAACGGGCCATGACACACAGCTTATCAACTATTCAAACTATTGGGTAGGAAGTCTGAGTGATATAGATTGAAAGCCTCAGAACACCAATTTAGACTTCTTTATAATTTTTCTACGCTAATCCGAAAACAGTTCTAAAGCAGTTTACATTTTTTGAAATTTTTGAAGTTCTTAAATTTATTCTACTTAGATTTACGAGGTTATTCGGAATGAATGTTAATATTCGGGAGTTGCACAATGGTTTTCGTAGTTTTACTGTCGAACAATGAGATTCGGAAGAGGATCGTCGCACGGTGAAGTTGCACTGAGGTGATGTTGATGGTAAAATTAACGGCTGGGTTGAACAGTGAATTGGTTTGACGGAGCTAGCTGAGAATCTGGTGGAATTGGTTTTAGGAAGAAAATCAAAGAAAATTGCGGTCTCTTTGGTGGGATAATTTGGTAATTTATACTCGTCCGATTAGTATGACCTTTGCAAATACTTTTCTAACACGAAGAAGACTAAGAGAATTCGGAAGTCCTTAATTAACTGCACAAAGTCAAGAGGAATTCATTAGTTCTCAATTTCGACTAAAAGTAAGAATGAAATACAATCGGCAATATTGACAGAAAGTCAATAGGAATTCTGGAGTTTTTGATTTAATCTATGAATATGAATGTAATATAATCGACAATACTCCATCCGTCTATACAAACCTTCGAGTATAAAATCTCCTGCGATAATTTTAATATCAGTGAAGGGATGCTTTTTGATATATTCGTCAACTCGATGTACATAGCCACCCAAAAACATAATTATAACATTAGCTGAGTTTAATCATCCTCTTGCACTTCTCAGTAGTTCGACAAAGAGTCAATACATACGAAAAATACATTTTCACTAACGACAAACCACCAGGTTTGTCGTGGACCCTGAGTAAAGATACCAGCAGACTCTAACCTTAGAAGTTGTTGTAACAAGTAAATGGATCTTCGAGGAAAGTAGATTTCTAATTAGGCAAATAACGCACAAAGATATAAATGGTTTCTTTTGGATTGATATCTAAAGTGTTTTCCTAGAAATAAAAACAATTTCGAAGTTGCCAAAGGTTGTCTGTCCAAAATTTATGATCAAGTTCCAAAAATTTTTCTACGATTTAATTGAATATAAGAATCGTTTACATCAAACAAGTTGCACAACAACACACAGTCAATGCTAAAATAAAAGCAAACAATTGCGCATGCAACATACCGCAAACTAAACACAACAACAAGCCAAATGTAAACAAACAAAAACACAAAAATAAAAACAAAAAAGAAAACTGAAATGTAAACATCAACTAAATATTGAGACGAAAAAAAAACTAAAAAAACACAAAAACGAATAAAAGAAAAAAACAACAATTAAAAAAAACACCCACCCTCCCTCTACACATTTAGGAAAATTATATTCATTACAAATAACAGCGTTCTTTAAACACCTTAAAGGGTTAAATGCAGCAACAGTATTGTTTTTACAACACATTTGCTGCATGAAGCAAATGTTGTACAACGAATAAAGGAACATGGTCAAACCAGCAACAATCAAACATTTGTGTTGGAGTTCGATGTTAAAGAACATCATAATGATGTTGTTAGAAAATTAAACAACAACAAAACAAACAACAAAGAAACAAAAACGAAGTTTTTCATTCTAAAACGATTGTTGGCCCAATACGAAATTGTCAGTCGAGTTACGAACGAGCAACGCGATGAACGTGTTATGTGCCAAGCGCGGAGAATTTTAAATAGAAATTATTTGAAAATTTTGTGAATTCAAAAAAACATAAATTGCACTTAAACTATAAAATTATTTAAAAAAAACATAATTTTAAAAATTTGTTTAATATTTTCCAAAAAAAAAAACTTTTTAAAAAATCTACTCAAAACTCTTTATAGGGAAGTGCGTTTGAGAAATAAAATTAATTTGTATGGCATATAAACTGTTAAAACTTTGCCCCCAAAAGGGCCTGAAAAGTGATTTGTTTTTGAACTGATGGCTGGATTTATCATTTGATCGATTTAGACTTTATTTACGTTTATAAAAGTGATTGGTCGTCGGTGTGTGTTTCGATAGCAGTGTGGACGCGGTAAAGTGTGCGTAAAATTATTATTTTTTTTTTGTGAATTTAAAGAAAACAAAACAAAAGCCGCTTCTTGCCGGTCGGTCTAAATGGATTCACTGATAGTTGTTTTGTTGGTATTTTTATATTTAAACGTCTGTGACTGTGAGTTAGTTTTACCGCATTGAAGTTTTTTGTTGTTGCTAAAATACAACAACATACCACCGAGTCCAATATAGTAGCCGATAAACGGATAAATGTGGCATTACACTACTACGACATTGATGTCGACATTCAAACTCACTTAAATACTGTTGGTTTGTATCGTCATCATATCTATACAACGTCAGAGACGTAGTCAATGACGACACTGACTACACTGAGTTTCGTAGTTTCAAGATCGTAACGTGTTTCCCCTGGCTGCACAAGTTCTTTATTTGCCTGGATATTGTTGTCTTGCTGCTGTTGTTGTGCGTCCATTGCTTACATGCCTGGATGTGTTCGTGTGTTGGTGTGTTTAAACGTTTTAGTCAAGTTAATGCGCGCATATTGTCGGCCTTTTGATCTTCAAAAAGGCTTTTTTCCCTGCTGTTGTGTTTAGTTGTTGTTGTTGATATTGTGGTTGTTATTCTCCGATCAAGACCAAAACATCAGGCTGAAAAAGAAAACTGAGCAAAAAAAGTTAAACAACAACAACTGTGTGCAAATTGAGTATCTGTGAGTGCGTGTTATCTGTGTATGTGAGTTTTAATATCTATCTGTGTGTTCAGGGAAGTGATCATATTAGTTCGAACATTTGTCGGTTCGTTGGGTAACATTTTGCGAACAAGTGCCGCAAAAAAAAACCGAAAACTATAATAAAAAACATAAACACAATCAAACCGACCGACAGACGGACAAGCAGACAAGGCGGTAAAATGTAATACAGCCAACTAAATAAAAGAAAGAAAGACCTTCTGCTGTAGTACCACCATCCATGTCCGTTTCATAGGAAAACTAAACAACTTGAAATAGTGTAGAAGAAAAGTGCAATATATTTTGCCCGATTTATAAAAGAAATATACAAAGTATACAAAAAGAAAATCTTTGAAAAGCAATACAATCTAAATCCAAAGAGGCTTTTCTAAAGAAACAGGCCATCATCATCATCAGCAGCAACAATAATAATAAAATAAATGAAATATATATATAAAAAAACTGCACAACAAAAACAAGTTGAGGCAGATCATTAAAACCAGATAAAAAACAAACAAAAATCAGAAGCTAACAAAAATTGTGTCAAATTAATTAACTAGAAAGTATTAAAACAAAATCGCCACCAAAAACCAAACAAAACAAATTAATTCAATTAAACAAAAATCAAGTTTTTCTCTAAATAATATAAATAAAAATCTCAAATATATTTTAATCTAAAATAAGCTACCAATTTTTTACAAAGTCTAATAGAGTTTAAAATAAGTTTTTTTTTTGCCCTATAATAAGTAGTAATAATTTAATTAAATATAAAATTAAAAAATAATAACCGTTAAAATTAATCCTAAAACGAAAACGTGTACTTAAACAAATAACAATTTTGAAAATTAAAATAAAATAAATAACAAATATTCAAACTCTTTAACTTCCATAAAAATCCAAGAAATATAAACAAAATGCATTTATTGTGGATTATAACATTGGCCTCTATGGCCATTTGGCATTTGCAACTGATTAATTGTGATGATCTCTCCATGCACTCTCAAACACAAACCACCAATGGAGGCTTACCGAATATGGGTGTAGGCGTAGCCAGCCAAAGCTCTATCACCAATCCCTCTAATCCTTCTCTACACAATCAAAATCCCTCGGCCACAAATCTCAATCAATTAGCTGGTAATAGTTCACTTTTAAATACTCTTATGCAAACATCTGGCAATGTGGGTATGGTTGGTCTAAATGGTAATATTGGTGCCATGGGTGCTATTGGTGGCCTGGGTGCAGTAGGCAGTGGTTCGACTGGTTTAATGGGTCATTCTGCTGCTGGTGGCGCTACTCATGGTGTTGGTCAAAGTTCGGGTGTTCATCATCATGGTCATGCTTTGGCCGGTTTGGCTGGTTTGGGCATTATAGTGCCTGGTCATCGAGGCAGCAGTTCAGCGGATTCTGGCGGCCGTTATAATCCCCCTTATTTGGGTTCTAGCAACATGGATATGATGGGTGGCGGAAATGGTATGCAGCAAGGAGGTGTTGGCGCCGGTGGAGGTTCTCAATATTAGTAAGTACAAGTCAGAGATTTTTTATCTAATACTTTGTAATACATCTTTAAATAAGAAAAGTGTAATTGAATAGTAAACAGTTTTTGAAAGAAATAGTCTGATTTCCATTTCCGAAATATGAATAGAAACTTTTCATTAACGATTTATAAGGTTTCAGACTTATAATTTCTAAAAACTTCATAGCAAAAATCTGAAATTTTATTAAAATAATTGGAAAATTAAAGTTTCGAAAAACATTGCATGTGTTCAGTTTACAAAGTCGATATTCGAATCGAAGTATTTAAGTAAAATCCTTACCTTCTTTGCAATTGTCAATATGTTTAATTGTGGAACAAATTCTGTTTCAAAGTGTTTCCAGCCTGTAGCCCCGAGAAATCTCAGGATTTTATTAAGCTAAAACCCAGATATCTCATCAAGGTTAGAAGCATTTTCTCTTAACAGCTAGAGCAGGGCATTCGCAGAGAAGATGGAAGACCGGTTCTTCCTTTTCCCTGTTTTTGCAACTGCAACAGTGTTCATTGAAGGGGAGTCCAAGCCGATTTGCATGTCTCCTGTTTTTACTGCTATCAACCACGATATATCTCGTCTGCTCCGGTTTATAAGGTGTCATGTGCGTTTTTCATCAAAGTAGGGCCACAATAACTTGGCCCCTGATTATTCCACCTGTTTTCAGCCTTCTGAAGAAAGAATCTGAAAATACTACTCTTGATTAAACCTAACGGAGTTGTTACTGAAACGACGTTGGACATATGAAGAGCAGATCCCATTCTGGCAAGAACATCTTCCTGTTCATGTCAATAATAGTCCCTATGCGCAGGGTCCCAAACAAGGGTAATTTGTCTGATTAATAGGGAAGTGGTAGTATAAGAATTTAGTGAGAGAAGTGCCTCTTGACTATCGACCAACAGGCTGACATTATCGCAAATATTTCAGCCTGAAAGACACTACAGTTGTTGGGAAGACAGTTGTTGGGAAGACACCAGAACCGCAGACACCGCAGTTCACTTTAGAACCATCTGAAAAGATTCTGGTGGTACATTTGCTCTGTAGGTTACCCCTATACCACTCGCTCCTGGAAGGAACTCTGATTTTGAAAACTCTATCAAAGTCCGTGTGTGGGGTAATATTGACGGATGGTTGGTTCAAGATTGGAGCTAATAGGCTTGAGAGAGAGGCTGAGTGTAAATATGCTATGAAGCCAGGGGCAAAATACCATCTGGTCCTGGTGATTTGAATCAAGAAATTTGAAAATTTGATAAAAAATCTCAATGACTGTAAATATTTGTAACGGTATTCACATTCTTTTAAAACTTAATTTTCAATTTAATAAATGTTTAAACAAAAGTTGTTTATTGACCATTAATGTGCATTTACTGCGCTTATAATGTTTATAAAACTCATTCCTTCTTTTTTTTTGCATTTTTGTACTTTGTAAAAAGAGTAACAGCATTTTTTTGACATTTGATTGACAGATTGTGTTGATGTTGTGTTTACAAAGTCATTTTTAAATTTCCAACAATCACGCTCTCATGATTTTTAAGGAAGAAGAAAAGTTTTCATGATTAATGGTAATTTGTTTAAATTTTTTCGAAATTTTAATTATAAGAATAAGAAATCAAGATCAAATTGATCAAAAAGTCTTGGAATCTATGAAAATCAAATTTCATGCAAAATAATAAAATTTACTAATTTTGTAAACAAATTAAAAAGTCAAAATAGGATTTCCAACCACAACGATATTGAAAATGTTTGAAACGGAAAAATATTTTCTCATTTAATAAACACTTAAGTTTTCCATTTTGTCAAATGACAAATTTGCGCAAATTTTTCATGATTCTTAAAGCTTTTCTGCATCTTAAAGCTTTAATAATTTAAAATATTTAAAATTTGTCCAAAATATAAACAATTGTCATCCCTTGCGAAATCAAGAAAAAAAAATATTTATTACTTTCACCAAAAGTGACACACACAAAGACAAAGCGTTGTAACAAACAAAAAAATAATAAATATTCTGTAATGCATTAATTTTGATGTAATAAAAAACAATATGAATATTTAACATTAATAAAACAAAACACACAGACACATACAAAATAGCAACAAATCCATCCCCCTTTCCCAAATTATTAGAATCTGTGACTACTGCAGCCTTACAAGCAGTTATCTATTGTCTCAAGGGGAGGAGGAGGAGGAGAAGTTGAGGGGGCGGAAAATAAACGTTATAGTCTAACCAGAAAAATAGGAAAGTGGAGAGTAATAATTTATTTTCTTTGGGGAATTTTAACGTTTAATGCGTTTGTACGTTCGAACGTATGTACGTTTGGTTACACCGTCAATGTTGCAGTTTTATTACCATGATTATTCATAACAAAAAAACAACAACAACAAAACCAAAAGCTCTAGTTTTAAATCAACACTGCTGGCTGGCATCCACCCACACACATACACACGAAAAAGACACCGAAAGGAAAAACCACAAAATACAACAAAATGCGAAAATTTTTTATGATTATTATTGGTATGTTGTTGTTGTGGTTTAAGAAACAAACCAACAACCTAAAAGGGCGGGCGGTATGTAGTTGTATTTATTGTAAAAAAAATTTAATACGAAAAGTGCACATAATTTACATTTTACAATGACAACAACAGCAGCAACAGCAACATTAAATTGTCGGCTATAAAAGTGAGTCGTCGTCATCAGCAGCAGCCATCATCGTCATTGTTGTACTCATCAGGTTGAATAATAACAACTGGCAGTCAGACAAACTGCAGGTACAATATTGTTTTATTTCTTTCCTCTTCCGTAAGTTGGAATTTGAATGTAAATGGATCATTTGTTGGATTTAGAACACAGAATCAAACTGAATAGAAAGAACATCCCTGTTTTGTAAATAAGACAACTAGTTGTACTAGACTTGTTGTTATACATAGTAGTTGTTGTCTTTGGTAAACAAAAATGTTTGTATGAGTTTTTTTTTCCTGTTGTAGTACCATCATCATCATCATTATTTGTCATTACATTGTTGCAACAAATCTTCTACACAGATACAAAAAACATAAGCAAACAAACAACAAACCCAGTAACGCCACACACATTCAACAAACAAACTCATATACAATGTGAAAGAATGAATGAAATGCCACCCACTCTTTTTTTTATTGAACGCTGCTTTTTTCGATTTTTTTGTAAATAATTTTTTATTATCTGATGGATTAAATGACTGAAGAAAATAAATAAAACTAAACGCTTGCTAAAATACTTTTTTTCTGTTGAATACATCTTCTGCTTGTTGTTTTATGATTTTTCAATGTTCTTTTTTTTACAATTGAGCTTGTAGACAAAACTGATTTGTGTAAAAAAGAATTTGCACAGTGGATCTAGTATAAAATGAAGCTTTTAGGAAAGGTAAACTTAAAAGTTCATAGTTAGCTACTTAACTTGAAAGGTGGATGTATTTATAAACACATGTCCACAAAATCTTTAGAAATTTACCTAGGCCTCTAACGGCCCTATTGTGCGCTCCTTTATTTATTTGTTTTTATTGGACCAGCACTCAGGGAATGACCTGATTGATGAATGATGCGAAGCATAAGTAGGGGTCATACATGAGAGTTGGTGTAAATAGTAAGAAGATCAGATGGAGTGAAGTATGTCTTACACCGTTTCAAAAAACCGAGACACTTGAATGCTTCTTTCCACTTGAAAAATTTGTGCCTCAGGAGGGAATCGAATCCAGTCTAGAACACTAACCACTTATGTGGCTATCGAAGGATACACCTTAAAAACTTCGGCAGAGGAGAATTGAAAATTCTCATTCAATTTCCTTTCTGTTGGTATATAAATATAATGTTTTTTATTCCCCGGTAAATAAAAGAACCTAAAGATGTTCAAACTTTAAACACAGGCCAACAAATTTTTGACCCAAAGACCAAAGTTTACTTTTCTAAAAGACTAAACTGAGCTAATTCTGTCTACATAACATCTGGTTTTTGAGATATTGTGTCTTACATTTCTTAAGAAACCCTATTTTTATTCCTATATTGGAGGTGTTATAACAACGAGAAGATACCTGTATTTGTAATTTTTGTTATGTCATTCGAAAGTCCAATTTATCGTCTTCAACCTCTATAATATCTTCATTCGTTTTCGAGATATTTTAACTTAAAACCTCTATTTCGGATATCCTCTTCTGAAGTTAAGCGTGTCCCAAAAGGAGAATTCTGCAAAGTTCCAAACAAATATTATCGGGTCGAAGCAAAGTCTGGACTATAAGGAGGGTGTGATAAAATGTCCCAAACATTTCTTGTTAAATAGTTTTTAAGAGATATAGCAGCAAGTGACCGAGCTTTGTCATGATGCAATTTTATGCTTTCACGTCTGTTCGCATATTCTTGCCGTTTTTCTGCCGATCACTCATAGATGGCACTGCTTAAGGTATAATAGATCATCAGAAAGGAAATTGAGTCTACATTTGAAAGTAATTGAAAAGTAATGAGTTAAAAAATCAGCTTTTCACTGCTTCCTCATTAGCTTACTCATTATTTAACACGGTGATTGATTACATTGCTGGCAAATACTTATCATGCTCGCTTACAAATAACTACTCAAATAGGGAGTTAAAACATTTCTTAAAAATGTTCGTTCTGTGTGTGTGTAAAAAAGCAGTTCCTAGAACGACTAAACCCAAAATAAAGTTCTTACTCAGAGTGTACATACATATGTATATGTATGTATACTCAGATGAAGTACTTGCTTAGAAGTCATGTAAGCAGTAAGTAATAGTCATTGAAAATTAAGTGGTTGTGTAAAAACAAGCCAATACCAAGTTTTTACTGGATAGTTTTAATATCCAAAAATATGAAATTTAAAAAAATATCTTCAAACTTCTTTTTTCTTATATAAAATACTTTTATATTAAAGAAAAATTAACACAAACATTAATTAGACCATCTAATCAATTATTTACATAATATTTAAACAAATGAATGCATTTTTTTC